CATTAGTAAAATAGAATCAACATTCATGGGTGGAAGAGCTCAGTTTTGAATCTCACCGGTGGAGTAAAGTTTGAGTTAGGATCTTAGAGACCTAAAAAAAAAAGATCCTAGGATAGGTACTCAGAAAATAAACTTTYCCTAGTCCCCACATAAATTTAAAAAAAGAACATAGGTTTCCCTAGAGGTGTAAATCGGGCTAGCTCGACACGGCTTAGTATGACGGAACATAGGCTACACCAGGCACAACACGATTGTATGGGCTGTGCCCGGCCTGGGATTTTAGGTCCATGGGCTGGCATAACATGGCAGCCCGTGTATTTCATCTCAATAATGAATTGCAGTTAACAAAGATAGGACATCCTCGAGTCAGTTCTCACCAGATTCACCGATGGCCTTCAACCTAGTTGGCTTGCAGGAATTGCTGCTTGAATATTTCAAGAAAATGGTAAATTAGTATGCCTCCATTATACTCCAAAGTTGTTTCAGGGCTAAATCCTAATCTTTAGAGTAGGCTTGATCRTTACTCTTGGTGTATGTGGTTCCTACAACTAAGGCCATGTTTGGGAGTGCTTATGTTAAAAATAAGTGTTTAAAAACAAGTACTTATTCGAATAAACACTTATTTACATTTGGCACCCAGATTTTTCAAGTGCTTATTTTAAAATATAAGCTCTTAATTTATATTGGACGTTTGGTGGTCTTTTTCTCCAATAAGCACTTGTACTCTTTTGTCCTTCATTTTCTTTCAAAATTTTAAAATATCCAATCCAAAGTAAATGAATTAAAGTAGTTTGGTAGAATTGCTTTTGTAAAAGTGTTTTCATAAAAATACTTTGACAAAAGTACTTTGGTAAAAGTGCTTTTATAAAAGTAAAAGTATTTTTTAAAAGTGCTTTTATAAAAGTACTTTTGTAAAAGTGTTCTTATAAAAGAACCTTCGTATAAGTACTTTCATGTAAAAATACTTTTATAAAAGTGCTTTCATGTAAGAGTACTTCTATAAAAGTGCTTTTATAAAAGTGTTTTCATAATAGTGCTTTCGTAAAAGTAATAATGTCRTTGCTAAAAGTAACAATATTGAAAKGGTATAATTGGTATTCTAAAAATTTACTAAGTAAAATTTTGAATAAGTACTTATTGTATGAATACTTAAAAAAAGTTGAAAATTTGGGCTTAAAAAATAAGCCCTTATTTTTAAAATAAGCACTTATGTTGGGCTTTTTTCCCAAACACCAATAAATGCTTAATAGTGTGGTCCCAACCCGAACAAGCACTYCCAAACRTAGCTTGAGAGTCCATTAATTAGAGGGCATCATATCAAACCTCACAACTAATTAATTATGAAAAGGAGTTCATAAACTATTTTCAGGGAATTGTGTGAAACCTCCATTAATT